CTTGTTATTTCTTTTTATTAAGTTCTACATCCAATGTATCTTGGAGATTAACTCTTTCTCTCCATAATTATGTTTCCACGTTTCGACGTAATTCTCAATTTCGCTGAATAATATTTCACGCCCCTGTTATGATTATGCTTCAATAGTTTTGTCGTTTGTCATCAGAAAATGTTTTATTCGGTAAAGAATTAAAGAGGAATGCATGCTCTTTTTATATAACACAACAAAATAATTATAAAATTAAACATTAATTTAAGTTACTGAGGTCTAATCAACGATGGTATCCTCAATGAGGAGAAAAAGAGTTTTAAAAACACTGGATGTTCAACGTTACCCCATGTCTGAGAATGAAGTTAACCCTGTCTCTTGGCATTACTTTGATTAAATTTTAGTTCTAGTATTGTGAGGATGAGTTTACAGCTAGCTATAGACATAGCTCTGGGTTTATCTAAGTTTTAGGGCTGTCATAGGGACAAGTATTAACATTAGCTCACGTTTGGGTTTGTACTACAACTAGAATGTTATCAAAGGTTTAAAATAACCTTTCTTTTGGTTAATGGACGCCATTTTTTTATTATCTGCCTCCATTTCTAAACTTTAATTAAATCTACCTCACTCATTAAAAAAAAAAAAACAACACTACCACAGACCTATATAATATGTATAGATCTGTGCACACTACCTTATGGCTGCGAAAGTGTCTATAGTAAATGAAAACGGCATAAAATTTCATGCACTGACATAGATAAATTGTTCTTTCAGTCGCAGAGCTATCTTCCCGGAGACTTTTGACGATTACTCTGGTGTGGAAGGGGCTTTAGGCAGGACACCTGTGGAACAAGGGGGCTACCAGTTTCTGGTGGTCGTCATAACCTTCTTCTTCGCCATTGCAGGTGGAACTTTTACAGGTAATTAGCCGAACAATTCTGTGTGACTCTTGGGTACTCCGGAGGCTGTCTGTCTGTCTGTCTGGTCAAAAGTTTGTAAACGTTATTTCTTTCATACCCGTTCTCGGATCAAGTTGAAACTTTACACAATAATTCATTGGCATAGGCAAGACATGAATCAATACAAAAATTAACCCATTAGTCAATTAATTATATTTTTTGATACCAATAAGGATAATTAATCCCTCAGTATTAACATATACGGCTAAATATGTTGGTTTTCGTCCACTTAGATAATTGAATACGTTATTGCACTGAGCTCTCTCATACCCATTCTCGAATCATGTTGAAAATTAAAAAAAAAAAAAACAATTAATCTAACAAAATATAAATTAATTGAAAAATTGACCAATTAGCCAATTAATTATTGCTAATTAATTATTTTGTTTGATATCGAATAATAAAAATAATTTCTACATTATAGAGACTAGAGAGGTATAGCTGTAAATGCGGAGTCTTATTTTTATAGATTGCTTGTTCATGTAAACTCGATGAGTTCAGGACCACGAGAGAGTCATGTTCTTGAGAAAACAGTTTTATTTTATCAGTTTATCAGTAAGCGTGGGATTGTTTTTTTTCGTTTCGTTGCAATTGTAGTTTTTTCTGAGCTTCTTTAAATAAATCCTCGATGAGTTCAGGACCATGAGAGAGTCATCCCCCTTGCTGGCACAGTGCTTCCGTGTTGCACTTTCCTTAAGGGTTCACATGACTGAAGGAGCGTTTCTTCAGCTTTTTACTTTTGCTTCTTTCATGAGCCAAATGTGTCAAAGAGGTTTAAGCTTAGTGATCTTAGGTTGCGCTTAGAGCATGGAATGGGTTGCCCTGAACCAGCCAGGAAAACCAGTGATTGACAGAATTTAAGTCCTTGGTTAACATGCATAACTTAATGCATGACGCATCTTCTTTTTTAAAGTAACGTCTGTATTTTATAAGATAAGTCTCTGCGTTTACAAGTTTATGTGAGTTTACACAAGTGTCTGCGATTACAAAAGAATCTGACAGAGCTTACAAAAATCTCTTCGCTTGCCGGTATGTCAGTTTCTGCGGCTGTCAGTATTTGTTGATGTATCTGCGCTTACAAGTGTATCTGACTGAGATTATAAGAGTCTTGCAGGTCTTGTCAGGTCTTAAGATTTAATTTACTAAATTATTAAATTGTCTAAGTATTAAAGGTAATATTAATTGCAATGTGTGTGTGTGTTATAATTAATTTTTAATTTATTATTACTTTTAATCCCAAATTCAGCCCGACAGACACACCAGACACACCAGACACACCCAGTTGTACATAAACTGATAAACGATGTGTATAATGATTTAAATTAAATTATAAATTTAATTCAATGACATTTATACAATGACTTTGATATGATATTATGACTAATGGTAATGATAAATGAATACAAGTACATATAGTATGAAGTGAATAATCAATGCTTATAGTATAATTCAGATAAATACTTAATTAGTATTGAAAACAAGAAAAATCGCCTTAAATTATGTTGTCGTTAATATCGTCCACAACAATATTTCAAGACAAAGACTCTAAGTAAAGTTCAGTGTATTTCATATTCAAATGTTCATGGTAACACAAGTATCTTCTAGCCAAGACGAATGTTCACCAACAATGAAGATAACCACAGTTCAGGGTAGCACCAAAAACTCACAACAGCACTATGCAACACCATGACTTAATGTAGAAACCTGGAACTAGAACATCAGACTTGAAACCTAAAATTTGAAACCTCAGATGGAAAACCTGAGACTTGAAACCTGAGACGAAAACCCTATAGAAAGACAAATAATAGATTCTTCTAATCCTCTAATCTTCTAATCTAATTACAAAATACGAATACGACCAAATACATATTAATAATAACTTTACAATGTGAAATAAAACTCACCCTAAACAGGGTTCAAATAATCCTTCAAGAATATCTACCAAGGCCAACGCTAAGGCTATCCAGTACCGAAGACACAAGGAGAAGTCAAGAACTCCAAAGATACAACGTCTGCTTCAGTCGAGCAATATGGCGGGAATGCAAACGACCAAGAAGAAAAGTTTGACGTCATATGAAAAATTACGACGAAGCAACAAGGGGGGGGGGGGGGGGGCAACTAGTACACAAGAAAAAAAAAGCAAACGACGTCATCGCCTATTGATGTAAGCGGCGCTATTAAATAATGTACATTTTTACTGTACAACTAAATAGATAGTTGCGACGAGTCTGTCAATAATTGCGTGTGCTTCAGCCCTTGCTGTTGTCTTCACGCTTGCATCTGGCTGCTGTTACAAGTGTGCCTGCGCTTAGAAGTACGTAGATGTGAATCTGTGTTGTACCTTCAATAGCGTCGAAAAGAACAAATATTCTGAGGTTGGTCCTCGTCCTATCGTGCAAGTCTACGAAGCATTAGAGACATGGCTGGAAATGTTTCCTAGACCATGAAGCACATAAACGCTTTCAAAAACTGTTTTCTCTGAAGCATATGTGTCTCCGTGATAAGACTCCAAGGCTTGAACCCTACCATGACATAGGCGCGATTGACTGAATGTAGTTTTGTATTATATTGCTCCTTGTGTCTCGGAAGACAATGGATGCGCCTAGGTGAATCAATGGCTTTGGTTTCGTCTTGAGACGGACGGGGCAGAATCTGGTGTGTCTGATCAAGCCGATTATATATTTACAAAGCTTATATCAACTCACTCTGTCAATCTGTGTCTGAAATAAATTTTGAACACGTTATTTCTCCCACACCCATTTTCGGATCAAGTTGAAACTTTACACTCTGATTATTTTGTGTGATGCCAAAAAGGGAAATAAGTCATTCAGTACTAATAGCTGTGGCTAAATATGTTGGGTTTTGTCCCCAAAATAATTGTGCTCGTTGAAACTTTACAATTTTTTTAAATTGTACCGAACAAAACATGAATCAATTTTAAAATTTACCAGCTGGTCAACTAATCATTGGTAATTAATTACTTTAGTTAGATATTGATTTCGGGAAATAAATCTTATTGTTGTTGGCTCTAAATGTACAGATTTTTCCCTTATATAAGCTTTGCTATTTTTAATGTGTTTTTTAACATATTTTTTTCTTTCTTCTTTCCAGGCTTCATTCTTAAGCTTCCGATTTGGAACCAGCCCAAGGATAACAAAATCTTCAACGACTCTGACAACTGGGAAGTTCCTGAGCACAGCGTACCAGAACCGGAACTTTTTAATATGTATAAAGTCTCCAACTCACACTCAACGCCCATGTAAAGTCTTCATTGATTGGTTGGTCCTATATGTTCGCATGCACGAGTCATTGGCTTAATCAGATAGAGATCTAAAATTAAAACTTAAAATTGGCCCTAAAAATAAATCTATAAAAAAAATTTACAGTAGGCCGGATATATGCCTATTTTACTGAAAAAACGTATAGATAGCTGCATTTTTGCGTCTACGGTGTGCCACCAAAGCCTCTGTATTAGATCTTTAGTTTATTTTGCTCTTTTCGGTACTTAAAATTGCTTACCAATAGTTGCTTTAGCATGCCTTTAAAATTAAAATATTATCTTTCATGAGTGAGAAGTTATTGCAGAACTGAAATTTTGTTCTGTTCTAGTACAGGAAACAAACAGGGACAGAAAGACACAAAGATAAAGGCACATTCCTCATTCCATATGCTAGGACAAATTTGTTCAAATGCTCCTTCTTCCCTAGTGCTATTAGAGCATGGAATGAGTAGCCTGAGCCAGCCAGGAAAACCAGTGACTGCAGAATTTAGGTCATTGGTTAACATGCATGACTAAATGCATGACGCGTATGATGTAATTATTTCCTACTTAGAAGTAACGTCTGTATTATATAAGATAAGATAAGAATGTTTATGTTTATTATCTTTTCATAACCCTCAAACCTATATTAATATTTTTTTTAAATATCGTTTGTAAATAATAATATAAAATAAACATTTGGTTGAATATATTGTCTGTAATTTCGTATCGAACAAGATATTGTACATATAAAACAAAAATAATGATAATCATATCTAAACCTTTTCTTGGTCTAGTTGACGGAAATGAATAATCCCCCTTTGGCCCTTCTCTTGTGTGAAAAGAAAAAAAGAAACCAAAACTCATACTAACTCATAGACTACGGGCCTAAATCTTTTAACTACATATATGTCTATGGTCTATAGGGAAAGCTACAAAAATACTTTTTTAAGATTAATACCATAATATTTTATTGTGAGAGCCTATGAAGCAAAACAATATGATGTATGTATGTCCTGTTACTCTTTTTTCTTATTGTTTTTTCAGGGAGGTAGAAGAGAAACTACTCCAGAATACTTTCACAATCAAAGAGTAGGCAACTGTACAAAACTTTAGCCGAGTTATTTCGCTTTTAGATTGAAAACTTCGTTGTTCTTCATTGTCTTCCATTTATTTCTGAGAGCTTTTTGAGAATTATGGGGGGGGGGGGGGGGGGGGGGGGGAACCTGAATAATAGCTGCTCTAAAATAAGAAGCAGACATGAGGCTGAATGAAGAGAAATGCTAAGCAGACGATATTTATTTTTTTTATTTATTTTTTTTTGTGTCGTCAGCTTAATCACCAAAAGTCTTGAAGAAGACATTTTGTACATGACATTATCACTTAGGATATTAAGATTAACGGAATGTATACATCAATATCAATACATGTATTTTTTTAATCATTTGATACTATCTTAATGTTTGTCAACGTTGTTGTACTTATATATTTATCATTTGTTTAAGTTTAATTATATAATATGTATGTATTAGGAATTATTGTTACATAAATATATTAACGATATTATTTTTTTTTAAATGTAGTGCAGTTAGGCAAGAAAGTAAATCATAATAATAATAATTTCGGGTTATCATCAAATAAAATATAGATCTAGCTTTAATGGATAAATTAAAATTAGCCTTTCCATTTTATCTCAACTTTCATCTTAGACTTGTGAATCACTGGGAAGGAGTCGGGTGCCACAATAGTGGTGCTAGTTAAACAATGCTCCCTCCCGGCTTCTTCATTTATAATCACTTTTTGTACATGATTTGCCGTGGCTGGCAGTGTTCAACCTGTTGAACAGCCTACCGTATAACTTGATGGTGCTTTTCGTTTAAAAGATTCATTAGCTTTTAGCCTATCCTTTGTGTAGATCTGCAGTCTTTGAGGAAATTATTTATATGTGCATGTATTGATTATCACCTTTTAATAAATTACATCTATATTTGTGGGACTAACATATTTACACGTGATTTTTTTTTGGTAGACTATAATATAAAAATTGCCCGAATGAGAATGGAATGTGACTGTGAGGGTAATCTAGATTTTTCGACAGAAACTTATTTTCCTTACACAATGCTTAGTTTATTCCCTCACCCCCCCTCTCCCAAATGGTCTTCATTGCTTCTTCTTGAGCCACTGAAATGGTCCCGTTAATGCATTTACATTGACTACATTTCGAAGTACACATACACTCACGCATTCTTAAGACCAATTAATCTGTACTTTAAGCAAACGTGTCTGTGTGTGTGTACCTAAGGGAGGCAATGAAACATCTCAATAGTCTGCTCAAATAGGCTTGCAAATTACTTACTTGATGTTTAGTAGCTTAATTGATAGTATACACTCGTCTAAACAGATACTCTTAACCAATAGCAATGTTTCATGTAAAGACAGCTTGGTAGCACCCGTAGCTGACTTATAACTATTCTCATAAGACATATTTAATAGTATGAACAATACATTGAAATTGTTATCTAAATGTTCATTTTTAAATGTCTTTTCTTTAAATTATTTCTTGCTTATTAAAAGTACACTGTGCCGTGCTCAAATTTACATCATAATGAGATTTAAAAAAAAAAAAACACCTTAAATTGTCTTTCATAATAAAAATAAAATCAATATTTTAATCAGTTGGGGAGGGGGGACAACTTTTTGTTAAATGTGGAGAGTTGTAGACCTTTAAATCACTGACCTCTATAGTGATCTAGCCGCTTGTTTTCAAAGTAAATGGTTTGGCTCTTAGAAACACCATGCCAATCTTTTGAATGCCACAATGATATTATTTTGTTATGTGTTGTTCATGTAGTATCAAGCGGTTCAATGTTAGTGTATGTGAAAAGCACAAAGGAAATGTGTGTTAGATGTGTGTATGTAGTACACAATACTATAGTTATCAAGTATACAGAAAGTGTGTGTTAAATGTATTGAAAGCAAAAGGCTCATGTTTAGTGTATTCCATGTACAGAGTATCAATGTACCATCCATATTGTAAAGGAATTATGTGTATGAATGGAATAGATCAGTCAATAAATGAATACTTCAAACAGATAGACTTTTGTTAAAGAAGTCTTAAAGTAACAGTAAAGTTTGGACTCCCATAGGAACATATTTGTTAGACACAGACAATGTGAGACAAATAAGGTCAAAAGAAAGATTTAAAGTCCCTTTTCAACTTAGGTGGTGTTTTTTTTTAAGTTTTTGTGTTTTCCAAAATGTTACATTTAACACAGAAATACTGAATTGCAAATTAATTATTTTAATTTTAGTTTTCAGGGATAGAGTTTGTATTATTAAATACAGGCTTTTAAATAGGTTTATGGGTCAAGTCTAATATCTGAAACCTATAATTGTAGCTCGGTTTTAGATTGAGACTTCTTCTCATATGCACTTAGACATTATACAAAACTAACACTACCATATTATCATTATTGTTGATATGTAGTAGATAAAGGTTTTCAATGAGTTTTACCACCTGTAAGAAATATTTCCTGCATCTAGGAATGTCTCACTTTTTAGAACATTAGACCTGCCCACTTTCTAACGTTTGTACGATGCTTCTAAAGGAAACATTTTGTGTTTAGTGTCAAATGAAAGTAAAAGAGAAGTAAACACTATTTCAATCAGTTTTAATGAAACAGTTTGTTGTATATATTCATGTCTTCTCATTTTGTAAATATTTATACAGCTGAATTAGGTGGACACTGGTCATTTAGAAGTCATTGTCCAATCACATCCATACAGTTCATAAGCTAAGAATACATTCATGAATCTACAACAGGCCTCACAGACACAGGCCACCTTATGCCCACTATCTCCCGTACACACGTGAACAAATCACAACTCAGGCATATCAATTAGTATTCTAACTTAAACAGTGAAACATAAAGATATGTACATATTCATATTTATACACAAAATGAGATGTTCCAGCATTGGATATGATTACAACAGAACTCTACAGTATGATACAACTAAAAAAATAACTGAAATAGGACTGGACATATGCAACTGACAAAAGTACTGTTTACTAAATTCCAAATCTTATACCTAATATCCTCTTCTGAAAACATCTGACCATCACATTTATTGGTCCCAACATTTATTACCCCCAATGAAGCTTACCACTAGACTAGTGTTATGTGGCAGACAATGGCTTGGACTGTTCTTTCATAGACCTAAATTTTCTTCAAACTTGGAATAAACAATATTTACCAAATCAGCTGTGGTATCCCAACTATGACATAGCTTCCCCCTGCAAAGTCACAAAGTCGGCAGCCAGAACACTGTTTTCACCACATAGTCAATACTTCCCCTCGTAATATCAACTAGGTCTCCCCCTAGGCTAATCATTACACAGAAAGAACAAGTTACATCTGAACAATCTTGACAATGAACAGAAATCTACACACACACACAAATCTTTTATGCACACAAATTAGGTTTTGAACAAAAAAATAACATTAATTTCAGTCCTAATAAAATTAAAATTATTTCATTAAAAAAAAAATAATATACTTGTAAACAAAATCAATAGCAAAAATTATTGGATTCTTCAAGGGAGATAATCAGAATGTGGAAATCTCAGACAAATACATTACACTGTTTAAGTGTGTGTTTAATAACAATGATCAAATTAATTTGGGACTGAAAAACAATAACACCCTTTGTAAAGTATAAAAAAAAAAACACTAAATATATTATTGCCATATTATATTTTAAAAAAAAGGGTGGTGCTGGTGGTGGTACACAACATCAATGACATTAATGTCATTCACTGATGCAGAAACAATGTCAACAATACACTAACATATGTCCCATCAAAATGTATATAAAAATCAACCAGCCAACAAACAAGTTAAAATAAATAGATGGTAACCAAGGGTCACAACCATGTCTTACTTCATATAAAAAACTGGTGTAATGGACACAACCATTTTTGTTTTAATTGTAATAGACAAGGTACATTACAAAGAGCAAAAAAGATTTTAGAATGTGTGGATGTATGTTTGTATCAGATCTCATACTGTCGAGATTTTACACAACAAAACTTTATGTACATCCAAATACAATGATATAGCTATGTTGAACTACTAAGAATGATGACTACATGTACAGTTGTGTTAGTGGGTTCACAGTCAATCCCCCTCATCAACATTTACACTCAATGATTTAAAGCTTCTTAAGTAGGATTACCACACATTACACACTCTATGGCTAATGGAAGGCTGTATAATGTCATTTGAAAATATTTCATTTTGCAACTAAAATTTTAAAGGTGCAAACAAAATGTTTTTTCTTGACAATGAAGGCAAATTTGTATCAAAACAAAAGATTAAAATTTTTTTAAAAACTACAAATAGGTTGTTAAAAAATCTGATATACAAAAAAATAGTTCAATAAATTGCACACAGCAATGAGAACATATAAATTAAATCTACATGAGTAGTGGTGGGGACTTCGAGTCACAGAGAACTGACATGAAAAAATGATGAGTTGACACCACCAGTTGATCTTAATGTTTACTTTTGATGTTCAATGCTTGACAAATTCAACAACAGAGCCCCTGAGCCTGGAAAGGTTTTATCTTCAAAATGAGACAGAGCAGAGATTTGTACTTCCTATCAAAAGATCATGTATAAAAACAGCATCATATAAGCAAATAAAAAATCAGATCCACACAAAAGTTAAGACTCAACTCACACCTGGTATGTTATCAATAAATAGGTCTATGTTTACATATAATATATATAGTATGTGCATAGCATTCTGAGAAATGTGATTGATAAATAATGGCTACACTTGTTGGAAGATTGGATTGAGTAAACACTATCTTCGCTATTGCTTTAAAACCTGTCCCATCACTTCACTATCATTCCATTAAAAATATCTTTCACATTGCATTACATATTAATAATCCTCTATGAAACTAATGGCTGGATCCCGAGCACAACAGCTACTTTCCTATAACAATGAACAGAATTACAGATTCAAACATTCCAGCAAATAATCTGCCACAAAAAGTTGCACAATTTCACTAACTTGCCATCCTGAATGCACCAACATTCACATTATCTACACAAGTCTTTGGGAAACCCAAATAATCCTGGACAGTGATCACAGACAGCAACGCTCACTGTTGCAAAGGTCGGTCGTGTAATCCCAGCTGGTTAAGTTGGACAGCAATTTGTAATACGCTATTTGACAGCATTTCACACATCATAAAGGTCATACAATATTTTAAGTTGACATTAACAAATATGTGATCAAAAGAGTCAGATTTCCATCAACTTAAAACAACCATATAAAAAAAAAAATTATGTTGATAGAAAACAATCCTCCTTATGTATACATTATATCTGCTACAAAAATTAAAACTTGACTGGGCCAGGTCCACACACTGTATTTCTACTATGCGGCATTTGTATTTTAACTGCTACATTCTTAAAAGATATATGGCTTCAAGTAACAATAAAGTAACATTTAAATCTCCAAGCAAGTTTTATTTTTAAGATCTGTAATGACAAAAAAGTAAAATATCTTAATTGAAAGAAAAAAAAAAAGGTTATCTGATGTTGACACTTTAAAAAAAAATCAACAAAAAAACATGAAATGTTTTTTGTTTCTCCAGATGAGTGTGACTATTTGTAACTGACACAATAACTCCACAGTATGTTTTTTATTTACACTGTTAATAATTGAAGGATTCTGTTAAGCTCCTACATGATGACAGGTGCAGTCAATGTTGAGATAAAACATGACACATGATTGCAATGTTATGTGATGAGAAGGTCCGGCAATGACCAGATGAATCACAACCAACAGTTTTGACCAGCCAATAGGCAGTCATTAAGTCAGATTTTTGTTTTTGTTTCTTTTTAGCAAAAACTGCACAAACTTTTCAGAAAACACTGTCAATGGATCATACAGAAGTCTCAGAATTTAATCTCAAGACAAATTTGTTTGATTTTGGATGAAGCATCTCCTCTGTCAGACTGAAATGTGGGATTTTGGTGACAGTGCAGAGCAATGACACTGGACCCTTCTTGAGCTGAAACACCATCCTATTGTCCAGCTCTCTGGTCAGCAACTGTTCGCAGACCAGTACCCATCTCTCAGTGCTCTTAACCTCTTGCTCATTGCCACAAACAACAGCCCCTTGTGTCAGGTACTGTGATACAAATGCTCGCGGGCTCATATCATGTGAAATGCAGCAAGCAAGGTGGCTCAGGACAGCATCCATGGTGTATCGAGGTTGCTGTCGTGTGACCCTCAAGTACTTCTGCAAGGCTCTGGCCAAAGATGGAAAAACAGCAGCTGCTGCCTCATTAGGATCCATTGGTATTGCAGGACCTGAAAATATGACGTTTAATTTTAATCCAGTTTATGTTAAAAAAATATATATACAATGTGATATATAACATTTCATAGAAAGTTGTTCCTTTCCTGACATTTATTGAAAATAATTGAATTATGCATTCTGATGTTTCTATTTAATATAAATAGCTTTCTACACTAAGAATCCACTATTAAAATCTGCAACTAAAATATCAGATTGAAATAAATCTTTGCTAATCACAGCTAATAGGGTCATG